GCAACCGAGGCACGTGCCCTTATCGGGAACCAAACCCAGGACTCTCCACAGGTCGACCCTCTAACCACTGAGCCAAACCAGCCAGGGCTGGAAGTTTATTTTTATTTATTTATTTATTTATTTATTTATTTATTTATTTATTTAGGTTAATCTTCACTTCCATTGGTTTTTAGATGAGTAGAAGGGAATGAGGGGGAGGGAGAAAGAGAGAGAGTAAAAAAGAGAGAGAAACATCGATGTGAGAGAGACGCATTGATTGGTTGTCTTATGCATGATCCTGATGGGGGCCAGGGATTGAACCTGCAACCCAGGCACGTGCCCTTGACTGGAAATCAAACCTGCGACCCCTCGGTCTACAGGCTGATGTTCTAACCACTGAGCAAAACCAGCCAGGGCAGGGCATAATTCTTTTTTTTTAATCCTCACCTGAGGATATTTTTCCTTTGATTTTCAGAGAGTAGGAGGGAGGAGAGAGAGAAAAACATTGATGTGAGAGAGACAGATCAATTGGTTGCCTCCCCAACGACCCAGCCAGGGCCAGGGATCACACTTCGACCAAGGTATGTGCCCTTGACCAGAATTGAATCTGAGACTCCTAGGTGTGTGGGCCAATGCTCTAACCACTGAGCAAACTGGCCAGGGCAATAATTCTTAATGTTGATGAGAATCATTATAGTAATACATACTATCATATCATAACTGTTGATTATGTGATAGATATAGGATTATCTCATCACAACCACCCTATGCAAAACCTACGAATATGGAGGGCCAATTATATTTTATAGATGAGGGAATTGATGGCCCAAGAGGTTAAATAACTTATTCAAGGTCTTACAATAAGTGGCAAAGCCAGGATTTTAATCCAGGTGTGGGGAAAATTAGACAGGTACATGTAAAAAAATGAAACTAGACCACTGACTTGCACCATACACAAGAATAAACTCAGAATAGACTTATATGTAAGTTGCAAAACCATAAAAACCCTAGAAGATACAGGCAGTAAAATCTCAGACATCTCTCATAGCAATATTTTTGTTGATATATCTCCTGAGGCAAGGGAAACAAAGGAAAAAATATAAACATGGGGGCTACATCAAAATAAAAGCTTCTGCACAGCAAAAAAAAAAAACATCAACAAAATGAAAAGGGAACCCATGACATAGGAAAACATATTTGCCAAAGATACATCTGATATGGGATTAATTTACAAAATATGTAAAGAACTTATACAGCTCAACACCAGGAAGACAAACAATCCAATTAAAAAATGGACAAAGGAGCTGAATAAACAGTTCTCCAAAGAGGACATACAGATGGCCAATAGAAATATGAAAAAATGCTCAAGGTATCTAGTCATCTGAGAGATGCAAATTAAAACTTCAATGAGATATCACCTCACACCTGCCAGTATGGCTACCATCAATAAATCAACAAACAGCCTTGGCCGGTTTGGTTCAGCGGTTAGAGCGTTGTCTGCAGTCCAGAGAGACCCGGGTTCAATTCCCGCTAAGGGTGCGTACCTCGGTTGTAGTTTGTCCCCGGCCCTGGTTGGTCATGTGGGTGGCAGCCACTCAATGTGTCCCTTTCACATCGATGTTTCTCTCTCTTTTCCTCTCTCTCCCTCCCACTCTAGCTGAACAAAAAATGGAAAAATGTTTTCGGGTGAGGATTAAATAAATAAAAAATAAATAAAATAAATCAACAAACAACAAGTGCTAGAGATGTGGAGAAAAGGGAAACCTGGTGCACTGTTGGTGGGAATGCAGACTGGTGCAGCCATCGTGGAAAACAGTATGGAGTTTCGTCAAAAAATTAAAAATGGGCCTGGCCGGTGTGACTTAGTTGGTTGAGCATTGTCCCATGCACTAAGAGGTTGTAGGTTCAATTCTGGGTCAGGGCACATACCCAATTGTGGATGTATCGCCAGTATCCTGTGTGCAGGAGGCAGCCAATCACTGTTTCTCTTTCATCGATGTTTCTATCTCTCCCTCCCCACCCCTAAAAAATCAATAACAATATATTAAGAAAATTAAAAATGGAATTGCCTTTTGCCCTTGCTCAGTAGTTAGAGCGTTGGCCTGCGCATGGAAGGGTCATGGGTTTGATTCCTGGTCATGGGCACGTACCTGGGTTGCAGATTCGATCCCTAGGCCCGGTTGTGGTTGTGCGGAAGGCAACCTATCGATGTGTCTCTCTCACATTGATATCTCTCCCTTCCACTCTCCCTAAAAATCAATGGAAAAAATATCCTTGGGTGAGAATTAACAACAACAACAACAACAACAAAATGGAACTTCATTTTGGTCCAGCAATCCCATTTCTGGGAATATATCTTAAGAATCCCGAAACACCAATCAGAAAGGATATATGCATCCCCTCTGTTCATAGCAGCATTGTTCACAATAGCCAAAATCTGTAACAGCCCAAGTGTCCATCGGTAGATGAGTCGATAAAAAAGCTGTGGTACAGCCTGGCCAGTGTGGCTCAGTGGTTGAGTGTTGACCCATGCACCAAGAGGTTGCTGGTTCTATTCACGGTCAGGGCATGTCCCCAATGGGGGGCATGCAGGAGGCAGCCATTTGATGTTCTCTCTCGTCTCGTCGATGTTTCTGTCCGTCTCTCCCTCTCCCTTCTTCTCTCTCTAAAAAATCAATAAAGAAAAAAATAAAAGCTGCGGTACATTTACATAATGGAATACTACGAAGCTGTAAAAAAGGAACTCACTTATATGTAGAATCGAATGAACACAATAAACTGATGAACAAAATAGAACCAGAGACGTGGACACATGGTACAACACCAAGAGGTCTCCAGTTGGATTCCTGTCAGGGCACAATGCCTGGGTTTTGGGCTTGATCCTCTAACTAGGGTGTGTGCAGTAGGTAGGCGATTGATGTTTTTCTCTCATAGATGTTTCTCTCCCTCCCTCCCTCTCTAAAACAAAACAAAACACAACAAGACACAACATCCTGGCTGGTTTTGCTCAGTGATTAGAGTACTGGCCCCCTACACCAAAGAGTCACAGGTTGGATTCTGGTCAAAGGCATGTACCTTGGTTGCAGTTGGATCCCTGGCACGGTTGGGGTGGTGGGAAGGCACACCCATTACTGGGGATTAAGCCCCCAATCCTCACATAGATATATCTCTCTCTCCCTCCCTTCTCACATTCTATCTAAAAATCAATGAAAAAATATCTTCAGGTGAGGATAAAAATCGATAAAAATATATTTTTTAAAAAGCAAACAAAAACGAGCAAAATAGACCATTACAGCAATCCAGTTGAGAGATGACGGTAGGTTGGGAGCAAGGAAGATGAAGATAAGTGCCCGGATTCCACAGTGCAGTGGTGTTGGAGGCAGGCTGGGGAGACGCGAAGGAGAGGAACCAAGAAGGATGACCTCCTTGGTTTCTGTTTTGCACATTTCAATTGCTGGGAGTCAGGATCTCCATTTTTAATGGGCAAGGGAGTGTGTCTACACATGTAAGCATTTGACCACTATGCAATTAACATGGGGCATCCGAGAATTAGGAACACCCTGTATTTCTTCTTTTTTTTAAAATCCTCACCCGAGGATATTTTTGTATTTATCTTCAGTTAGAGTGGGAGGGAGGGAGAGGGTGAGAGAGAAAAACATCGATGTGAGAGGGACAAATTTACTGGTTGCCTCCTGCACAACCCTGACCAGAGTGGGGGAGGAACCTTAACCAAGGTACATGCCCTTGGCAGGAATCCAACCCGTGACTCATTAGTCTGCTGGCGATGCTCTACCACTGAGCCAAACTGGCCAGGGCTGTATTTCTTCTCTCTCTCTTTTTTTTATTATCCTCACCCGAGGACATTTTTCCATTTTTTGTTCAGATAGAGTGGGAGGGAGAGAGAGGAAGAGAGAGATAGAGAAACATCGACGTGAAAGGGACACATCGAGTGGCTGCCTCCCGCACGACCCAACCAGGGCCGGGGACAAACTGCAACCGAGGTACATGTCCTTAGTGGGAACCGAACCCGGGTCTCTCTGGACCGCAGGACGACGCTCCAACCGCTGAGCCAAACCATGTCCCTTTCACATAGATGTTTCTCTCTCTCCCCCCCCCCCACTCTATCTGAACAAAATATCGAAAAATGTCCTTGGGTGAAGATATAAAATAAATTTATTAATTAAATATTTTTTCTGTATTAATGTTAGAGAGAAACATCCATGAGAGATAACATGGACTGCATGCCCGCCACTGGGAATTTGGCCCACAATCTGGGCATGTGCCCTGACCAGGAATGAACTGGCCACCTCTTGGCACATGGATTAATGCTCAACCACTGAGCCACACCAACTGGGCTTTCTTTTCTCTTTAATATTTTTTACCTGATTTTTTTAGAGAGAGAGAGAGAAACATGGATGTTAGAAATAAACTATCAGCTGCCTCTTGCAGGCCCCCTACCTGGGATCGCCCTTGCAACCCGGGAATGTGCCCTCACGGGGAATGGAATCGGGAACTCTCAGTCCATGGGAAGATGCTGATTACACCGAGCCACACCGGCGTGGCTAAGAATGTTTCTTTACTTCCCACAGAGACTAGGAGGGAGGTGGCAATATTGAGGCTTGGCGCTGAGACTTATCACGGTGTACTGTATTCACATTATAAGGTATTGCACCCACTGCATGAGAAACTCAGGAGGTGCTGAATTTCCTCTCTATACCTTAAGGGACTTGCCCAGAAACTGGCTTCGCCCTCTCCTAACCGGTCTCTCCTAGCCCTACACCTAGGGATTTCCGGCCCGCCTACCTCTTTGCACCAGCCTAGACCTAAAAGGTCCCGGCTCCGCCCCTACTGCAACCGTTGCCTGATTGACGAGCATGTTTTCCAATCATAATGCCGAACGACCACATAATTACCAATTAGGTGGTAGCAGAGGCGGGTGCCGAAGCCGGGGCGGGGGTGACCAGGAAGTGAGAGCAGAGACCGAGAACCAGTGGAGCCTAGGCGGTGGTATAAAGGTGACCGGGAGTCTGGATTCCCCAGTTTTCTCCCTTTCCCGTTCCTGGGTCAGGGGTCGCTTCGCAGCTGGGAGCCAGGGTCTCTATTTGTCCTTTTTAATGGGCAAGGGTGTGGGCCTACATATGTAAGCATTTGAGGATTTCTTCTGAGCCACCTTCCTGGTTTCGCCTACACCTTTCCGGTTTGGCCTCGAGGAGGGTCCTTCTCTTAGTCAGGGGTAGGGGTACTATCCCCTGTCCTCCTCCCCGGGGAATGATAAAGTTGTTTAAAATCCTTACTTAATCTGTGGGTGGTTAAAGTCACGGACTCAGTCACAGAAAGAGAGGTGAGTGATGGGGTTAGCGAGATTCGCGGATCCTGCCTCTCTTGCAGGGTTAGAGACCTCCATCTGTGGCCGGAGGTAGTGGAAGGTGGAGTGGCCCTGGGAGCTAGGTCCCTGTGGTTTAGGGTACTAAGAATAAAATAGTTATTGAGGGCGAAGGTACGGTGAAAAGAAACATTTGTTTTGTGGAAGTCAGAGCCTACCGCAGAGCTGGAGGCGTTGGGGTGGGGCTCAGTCTCTAAATCCCCTTCCCACTTCTGGGCGGTCAACTTTTTGCCTCCGTTTCTTTCACCTCAGGCTGGAAGAAACACCTGACAATGTGGAATCCCAATGCTGGTAGGTGTTTGGGGGTGCTCTCTTCTTCCACACCCAACCCCTTTTCAAATGGACCCCACAACAAGAAGTTTCTGTTTTTCCTCCACCTCTTCCCTCACCTGCAAAAGCCAAGTCCTTAGCCTATAGCTGACCCATGTCCTTGTCTTTTGTTAGAGTTCACGTCTCCCTCTCTTCCCACCCTGAGAAGGACATGACCTTTTCTCTTTATATGTGGTTTTGTTTCCCCTACCTTCCATTATCCTTCTTCACTTTCCCATTTCCCTTTAAGTATTGAGGAACTGAATCCCTTCTTTTTGTTGTTTGTTGTCAGAGGCTCTGGGTAGTCCTAATGTTAATTTATTCTTTGCTTCTTTCACCAGGGCAGCCAGGGCCAAATCCGTATCCCCCTAATGTCGGGTACCCTGGAGGTTCTAATCCTGTCCATCCACCGCCTGTCAATCCTGTCTTTCCTCCAGGCCCCTTTCCCACTGCCCCAGGACCTCCCCAGGGGAATCCAGCTTTCCCCCCAGTCGGGCCCCTTCATCCTGCACCACAACCAGCTTATCCAGGATGCCAACCATCAGGTCCCTACCCCCCTCCATACCCACCACCTGCCCCTGGCATGCCTCCTGTGAATCCCTTGGCTCCTGGCATTGTAGGACCAGGAATGGTGATGGACAAGAAGATGCGGAAGAAAATGAAGAAAGCTCATAAAAAGATGCACAAACACCACAAGCATGGCAAGGTCAGTGCCCTGTGGAGCTTGGCTAGGAAGGGGTGCTCCCTCAGAGAGAATAGGCAAGCAGGGTGTGGCCAAGGGGGATTCATAGTCTGAGGACCTGGGGCAGTGATTGTGTTGCTCTGGTAGATGGTTCTTACTTACTTTACTTTTTTATTATTATTTTTCTTTCTTTCTTTCTTTTTTTTGTATGTGCCTCTAGTGAGGGTCAAACCCGGGACTCTCTGGTGGTCCACAGGCCGATGCTCCAACCGCTGAGCCAAACCGGCCAGGGCTGGATCTTCCTTTTTATAAAGGCTTCCCACTGATGCCCGGCTGGTGTGGCTCAGTGGTTGAGAGGTTGCAGGTTTGATTCCCAGTCAGGGCACATGCCCAGGTTGTGGGTCTGATCCCCAGTGGGGGGCATGCAGGAGGCAGCCAATCTATGTTGTCTCTCATGGATGTTTCTATCTCTCTCTCTATCCCATCCTCTCTTTCTCAAATCAGTAAAGAAAAAATAAAATTAAAAAAAAAAAAAAGATTCCTACTGGGAAGAATCTGATAATCTTGAAATATTAGGCCAATTTGGCTTTCTATCTGTGAGGGGCTAGGTGGAGCCTTAGAATGGATATCAGAAGCAAAAGCACTTCTTGTCTGCTTTTCTCTCTCCTAGAATTTTTGCCCCCTTTCCCTCACTCCCAGATGCATGTTTTTTTAATCCTCACCCGAGGACATTTTTCCATTTTTTTGTTCAGATAGAGTGGGAGGGAGGGAGAGGAAGAGAGACAGAGAGAGAAACATCGACGTGAAAGGACACATCGAGTGGCTGCCACCTGCATGACCAACCAGGGCTGGGGACAAACTGCAACTGAGGTACGTGCCCTTAGCGGGAACCGAACCCAGGTCTCTCTCGACCGCAGGCTAATGCTCTAACCGCTGAGCCAAACTGGCCAGGGCCCAGATGCATGGTTTTTGTTTTTGTTTGTATCCTCACCTGAGGACATTTTTCCATTTTTTGTTCAGATAGAGTGGGAGGGAGGGGGGAGGAGGGAGGGAGAGAGAGAGAGAGAGAGAGAGAAACATTGATATGAAAGGGACACATTGAGTGGCTGCTACCTGCACGACCAACCAGGGCCGGGGACAAACTGCAAACGAAACCGAACCCGGGTCTCTCGTCGGGACCGCAGGCCAATGCTCTAACCGCTGAGCCAAATCGGCAGGGCCAAATGCATGTTTTAACAAATTGGACATACCCACTTAGGTGGTCAAAATGTCCATTAATAGAGTCAGTCTTTTTTTTTTTTCCACCCCACACCAGAGGATATGCTTATTGATTTTAAAGAGAGGGGAAGGGGAGGGAGAGAGAGAGAAAGAAAGAACAATGATTAATTGCTTTTCATATGTGCCCCAACTGGGGAACTGAATCAGAAACTTTTCGGTATATGAGACACTGCTCCAACCAATTGAACCACATCCGCCAAGGAACAATAGGGTCATCTTTTGATAAAACAGTCTTATATGATAATTAACAAGTAATAATCTGGCCCTAGTTCCTGGAGTTCCTTTCTCTCCTTCAGGGTGTTGTGTTAATTACAAGGCCTTTTTGCCCTGCCACCCAGTGGGGCAATTGAGGACTAGTGATTCTCAGCCTCAAACCAAACTTAAGTTTCATGCCCCAAGGCTAAGTATCCCATTCTACAGGAGTGTTAATTATCAAGGGTAAAAGTAGTTCTCTGGACAACTCTGAAAGGACTGAACCAACCTGGATCTTGAGGAAGCCTTAATTAACATTTTACTGCTTAGTATTTATCTCCTTACGGTTTTGGGCACTAATTCCTGGTTCTGGATTTTTGGTAGAATTCCAAAGAAAGGAAAGGTGAGATTGAATTGGGGGGAAAATTACCCTGGAGAGACTCAAATATGTTTTATTTTTATTTTTATTTATTTTTTGTCTTTTTGAGAGTATGTGCCCTTAGCGGGAACCAAACCTAGGTCTCTCTGGTCCTCAGGCCAATACTCTAACCACTGAGCCAAACCGGCCAGGGCTCAAATATGTTTTATTTTTTTTATCCTCACCTGAAGACATTTTTCGATATTTTGTTCAGATAGAGTGGGAGGGAGAGAGAGAGAGAGAGAAACATCGACGTGAAAGGGACACATCGAGTGGCTGCCACCCGCACGACCCAACCAGGGCCGGGGACACACTGCAACCAAGGTACGCGCCCTTAGCGGGAACCGAACCCGGGTCTCTCAGGACTGCAGGCCGACGCTCTAACCTCTGAGCCAAACCGGCCAGGGCGTCGGCCTGCAGTCCCTAGAGATCCGGGTTCGGTTCCCGCTAAGGGCGCGTACCTTGGTTGCAGTGTGTCCCCGGCCCTGGTTGGGTCGTGCGGGTGGCAGCCACTCGATGTGTCCCTTTCACGTCGATGTCATTCTCTGTCTCTCTCTCTCTCTCTACCTCTCTCTCCCTCCCACTCTATCTGAACAAAAATAAATAAATAATCTTTTATTTATTTATCTTAGAGAGAGAGAGAGGAAGGGAGAGAGAGCAAAACATCGATCTGTTGCATTCCTAGGTTGCTTCTTGTTGCCCTGACTGGGGAGTCAAACCAGCAACCTTGACGTATTGGGACAATATTCTAACCAACTGAGCTACCTGGCAAGGGCACAAAAAAATATTTTCTTTTTTTTTTTTGTTAATCCTCACCCAAGGATATTTTTCCATTGATTTTTAGAGAGAGTGGAAGGGAGAGAGAGGAGGGAGAGACAGAAACATCAATGTAAGAGGTACACATCAATTGGTTGCCTCCTGGAAGTGCCCTGTCTAGGGCCGGGGATCGAATCTGCAACCCAGGTATGTGCCCTTGACCAGAATCAAACCCGCAACCCTTTGGTCCACAGGCTGATGCTCCAACCTGAGTTTAACTGACCAGGGCTCAAAAATATTTTTTTATTTTTTAATCCTCACCCGAGTATATTTTTTTATTTATCTTTGGATAGAGTGGGAGGAAGGGAAAGAGAGAGAAACATCAACATGAGAGGGACACATTGACTGTTTGCCTCCTGTTCGACCCTGACCAGGGCCTGGACGAACCGCAACCGAGGTATGTGCCCTTGGCCAGAATCGAACCCATGAGTCATTGGTCCTTGGGCTGACGCTCTACCGCTGAGCCAAACTGGCCAGAGCTTTTTGTTGTTGTTGTTGTTTTATTTGAGAGAGAGAGAGAAACATCTGTTTGTTGTTTCACTTATTTATGTATTCATTGGTTGACCCCTGTATGTGCCGTGACCGGGGATCAAACCCACAACCTAAGCATATGGGAATGACACTCTAACCAACTGAGCTACTCAACCAGGGCTTCAAAAATATATATATATATATATATTTTTTTTTTTTGTGGTACATGCCCCTATCAGGAACCGAACTTGGGACTCTCTGGTCTGCAGGCCGACGCTCAACCACTGAGCCAAACTGGCCAGGGCTTAAAAAAAATATGTATATATATTTTTCTATCCTCACCCGGGGACATTTTTGTTGTTGTTGTTCAGATAGAGTGGGAGGGAGAGAGAGGAAGGGAGAGAGAGAGAGAGAAACATTGACGTGAGAGGGACACATCGAGTGGTTGCCACCCACACGACCGAACAGGGCCAGGGACAAACTGCAACCGAGGTACATGCCCTTAGCCGGAACCGAACCCAGGTCTCTCTGGACTGCAGGCTGACACTCTAACCGCTGAGCCAAACTGGCCAGGGCCTTCAAAAATATTTTTAATGACAGTTGTTCATGGGAGTATGCATGTAAAGAACCTTGACTACTGTCCTGCTGGTGTGGCTCAGTGGTTGGATGTGGCTCAGTGGTTGAGTGTTGACCCATGCACCAAGAGGTCGTCGGTTTGATTCCCTATTAGGGCACATGCCCAGGTTGTGGGCCAAATTCCCAGTGGGGGGCATACAGGACGTGGTCAATCAATGTTCTCTCTCATTGATGTTTCTCTCTCTCCCTCTTCCTCTAAAAAAATAATAAAGAAAAAAATTAAAAATTTATTAAAAAAAAAAAAGAACCTTGACTAGGAGTCTCCCAACCTTCTCTCCCACCTTCTTCACTTACCTTCTTCACTTTATCCCAGTTGGGGCTTAGGGAAAAGTAGAGATAGATGCACACATAGCTGCTGTTTCTACTCACTTTTCTTAGATTCACAGCCACTAGGAACTTTCCTTGCAGCTAATCCATAATCATCTATAGAGAAGCAGCTATTTCCTAGCACTATACTATGCTTGTGCCTATAATTCCTTGCCTAGGCACTGGCTCTGTTAAAGAAAGTTGAGAAGCTTGCTCCAAATGCAGAATGTTAAATGCTGTGCAATGAATTAGGATGGTTTAATGTCCCATGGAGTGATCAAATGTCATATAGATCTGATGCTATCTCCTTTCCCCTTGCAGCATTCCTCCTCCTCCTCCAGCAGTGACTCTGACTGAATACAGGGTCTGGACCCTTCCCTCAAGTCTCTCCAGTTCTGCTCTCCCATCAAGCTTCAGATGCCATCTTGCACTGGAGAAAATTAGCCCTTGTGTCCCTCTCTCCCTCTCCCCCAATCTGAGCCTCACTCTGCTGTCCACACCTAATTGGTTAGAGGAAATGGGAAATGAATTGCCATGGGCTAGCAAAGGCCATCTTCTCAGTGCTTGCATAGAACTTTTAGCTGATGAGTTTTACAGGAGAAGTATTTTTTGAAGGTGGTGAAACCTGTGAGCTAAATGCTGAAGATATATCTAAGATCTAGAAAATGTGATTTTCTTTTTTTTACTTTCTTTTGTAATATTTGTAGTTGGGGTGGTGTTGTGGAAACTTAATTATGAGAGAAAAAAACCACAGAACAAATTGTACCTTTTTAAAAAAAAATTGTGGCACACTTGGGTGATTTAATGGCAAATACATTTCCCAGCATGCCTTTAATTGATTGCACTAACTGCAAGGCTGCTGGGAAGTGGAGTCCATTTGTTGATGAGTTCTGCCATTGTGAAACCTAATCTGTACTCCTCAGCTCAGTATGCTGTCTCAGTTCCTCCCTTCATTCTCTAACTCTCAGTACAAATAAAGCTGTTTGTCCTGCTCTCTGTTCACCTGTGCCATTACCTTGGTTGGGCCCCGCACATTCTGCTACTTTTGCTGCCCTTCCATAGACTCTTTAATGTGTATCAGTTTTATAGTAGGGGTCCAGAGTGTCAGTGAGCAAGATACCATATTGCCTCTATGTTTCTTATTTTATTTTATTTATTTTTTATTCTCATCGGAGGCCTTTTTTTTTTTTTTTTCACTTATCTTTAGAGCGGGAGGGAGAGAGGGAGGAAGAGAGAGAGTGAGAGACATCAATGCGAGAGAGACACATTGACTGGTTGCCACCCACACAAGCCCAACAGGGGCTGGGGACAAACTGCAACTGAGGTACGTGCTCTTAGCGGGAACTGAACCCAGGTCTTTCTGGTCCGCGGGCTGACACTCTAACTGCCGAGCCAAACCGGCCTCTATGTTTTTTAAGTGGGAGGAACCTTCAAAATTGTTTCAGGTTTAGTGGAATGAATCTTTACTGTCTTCTCTTTAATGAATGGATATGTCTTTAGCATAAGTTTTCATATCTGCTATAGAGGTTCTCAGCCCTGGCTGCCCATCACTATCAGAGAGTAATTTATGACTTTGCCCCAGATCTACTGAATAAGACTTGGTAAGGATGGGGTTCTACAAATCAGTATTTTTAAGAAACTGTGATTCTGATGCACAGCTAGAATTGAGAGCCACTGCTTCACTCTGCCATGCACAGTACTACACATCATGTTCTCAAAGTTCTGTTGAGTAGAGGAAAAAGACATCTAGGAGAACGCCTTAATAAAGACAGATGATACAAAATGCCACGGTATATAAACCTAGAAATAACTCGGAAGGGAAGGAGGTGTCAAAGATGACTTCACAGTCAGAGAGATGTGACGTGAGAGCCTGGACAGGCCATTGCTGGTGTTGAAGATGGAATGGGGCCAACAGCAAAGGAATACGGGCTGCAAAGGAATGCAAAACTGGAAAAGGCAAGGAAAAAGATTATTTCCTAGAGTCTCCAGAAGGAACCAACCCTTCTAACACTTTGATTTTAGTTCCATAACACTCATCCCAGACTTCTAACCTCTAGAATTGTAAGAGAATAAATTTGTGGGATTGTAAGCCACAAAATGTGTGGTAATATGTTACATCAGCAATAGGAAACTAATCTACTCACTATAAAATAAAGTAATTTTGATGAAAAAAAAAGACTTCACAGGAAAAGTGACATTTCAGTTTTTCAACTAACACTTGTGCCTTGAGTGTGAAAAATATAAGTGGAAAAAAATGAAAAAGTCATTTACCAAGTAGATGGCAGAGAGGAGCTGGGAAGGGAATGTACTTAGATACATAATTAGAAAGTTCCATTTGGGAATTATAGGTATCCCAGAATGACATTCTGTAAAATTGTTCATTGAGGAAGTACGGATTCTGGGTGCTGAAGCTACAAAGGTAGATAAGAGTCCCTGCCCTTTATAACCTCCAAGATTTAATGGAGCAGACATGTGAATAGGTTATGTACAGTAAAAATAGAGACATGGATCAAACAGTGGGGGAACAAAGGAAGGAGTGACAGTGTCACTGGGAAAATGAGCTAAGTCTGGGCTGGGTCTCAGGATGATAGTTTTTCAGTTGGTAAGTAATATCAGCTAACACAGCATTTATTATGTGCCAGGCACTAAGTGCTTTACATTTATAATGTGTAATCTTCACAGCAACTCTGTAAGTTAGGTACTATTATTCCCTTTTTTTTTTTTTTATCCTCACCTGAGGACATTTTTCCATTTTTTTGTTCAGGTAGAGTGGGAGGGAGAGAGAGGAAGAGAGAGAGAGAGAGAAACATCGACGTGAAAGGGACACATCGAGTGGCCGCCACCCACACTACCAATCAGGGCTGGGGACAAACTGCAACCGAGGTACATGCCCTTAGCGGGAACCGAACCCGGGTCTCTCGGGACCGCAGGCTGATGCTCTAACCGCTGAGCCAAACCGGCGAGGGCTATTCCCATTTTGCAGATGAAGAAAACTTGTCAGGATTCAAAATCAGGCAGAGTGGCTTGCGTCTGTGCTCTTAACTCAATGGATTTTTGGCAGACATTGTAGTTTTACAGAGATACAGAATTATAAAAGGTTTAGGATGAAAATTCAGGAGTTCCTGAGCCTGAATTCCCATTCAGGAGCCTGAAAGGAGGAGGAAATGAGGCAGGGCTAAAAAAGGGAATGGATTTGAGAGATGTTTCTGAGATATGGCCCACAGGGCTTAGGGATTGAGGTGCTTGAAGAACAGGGAAGGAGTGTTTTTAGTTGGCTGTGTTACATCTATGACTTGTCCGTGGGGCAGGTATATGAAATAAATGCTTCCTATAGGAATTCTTCCTATATTTTAGAGCTAGCTTCTAATTTTATTGGAAAATCCTAGGCCAAGGCCTGCTTTTCCAGTGTCTTGGATTTGGAGACCAGTATAATGTTTCTTTCTAGTCACTCTTTGTTTTCATTTATTCATCAGCTTTTTTTTTTTTTAATTCTCATCCAAGGATACTCTTCCATTTATCTTCAGACAGAGTGGGAGGGAGAGAGGGAGACAGAAATATCGATGTGAGGGAGACACATTTACTGGCTGCCCCCAACCAGGACCAGGGACCGAACCACAACAGAGGTATGTGCCCTTGACCAGAATCAAACCCATGACTCTGGTCCAAGGGCTGACGTTCCAACCGCTAAGCCAAACTGGCCAGGGCAGCTCTTCTTTTTTGAGAAGGAGAAGGGAGATATGGGCACCAGGATTGTGAGGTGAAGAGAACAGATGTTGACAAACCAGAAATAAGAAACAATGAGAAGGGACTAGAGGGGGGAAATTCAAAGGAAATGAAAGAAAATCCACTGATTTTTTCCACTTCTTTTTAAAAAATCCTTACTTAAGGATATGTTTTTATTGATTTGAAAGAGAGAAATATTGATGTGAAAGAAATATAGTGCCTCCTATATGCACTCCACAGGCTCAAACCCAAACCTAGGTATGTACCCAGACCTGGAATCAACCTGTAACCTTTTGGTATATGGGATGATGCTCCAACCAACTAAGCCACCTGGCCAGAGCTGATTTTCTCTACTTCTAGTTGTGGAAAGCACATATCCCCTTTCTGGCATTTCTAGGCCATATTCAAAGTACCTTGCTATTGTTGTTTTGTTACTATTATTTCTCAAAAGTTTACTAACTTTTTAAAAGCTGAAAGTAACACATGTACTTGGGAAAAATTGTAACATTTTTAATAGGATGGTCAGTAAAAAGTAAGGTTCTACTCTCATCTCAAGATTCTCAGCTTCCTCTCCAAAGGCAACTAGGCTACCAGATTCTTTTGTAAGTTTCCAGAGCTATTCTGCACCCCAACTCTACCCCCTTTTTTTTATCCGCATCCGAGGACATTTTTGCATAGAGTGAGAGAAAGAGAGAAAGGAAGAGAGAGAGAAACATCGATGTGAGAGAGACACATAGACAGTTGCCACTCACACGAACCCAACTGGGGCGGAGACAAACTGCAACCGAGGTACGTGCCCTTAGCGGGAACTGAACTCAGGTCTCTCTGGACCATCGGCTGACGCTCCAACTGCTGAGCCAAACCGGCCAGGGCCCAACTCTACCCTTTTAAAATATATATATATATTTTTCTTTATTGATTTTTTTCTTTGTCTTTATTGGTTTTTTAGAGAGAGAAAGGGAGAGGAAGAGAGAGAGAGAAACATCGATGAGAGCGAACGATTGGCCCTGGTTGGTTTTGCTCAGTGGTTAGAGCGTTGGCCTGCTGTCCAGAGAGACCCAGGTTTGGTTCCTACTAATGACATATACCTCGGTTGCATTTTGTCCCCGGCCCTGGGTGGTTGTATGGTGGTAGCCATTCAATGTGATTCCTTCACGTCAATGTTTCTCTCTCTCTCCCTCCCACTCTACCTAAACAAAAAATGGAAAAATGTCCTTGGGTGAGGATAAAAAAAAAGAGAGAACGATTGGCTGCCTCCTGCATGCCCCACACTGAGGATCAGGCCCACAACCTGGGCATGCGTACTGACTGGGAATCAAAACCGGCGACCTCTTTGGGCATGGGTCGATGCTCAACCACTGAGCCACACCAACCAGGCCCAACCCTATCCTTTTTATTTCTACTTCACATTGTTTTATTTATTTTTTAATTAAAAAAAATTTTTTTACTTCACATTGTTTTATTGCCCCGCTCCCGTTTTATATCAAATGAGAGCATAGTATAGGCCCCCCTTTTTTTCCGTTTAATTTCTTATTTAATTATCTACCTTTGAGTTGATTCCATATCTGTGTCTGGGTATGTGTTTGTGTTTTTTATGTAGATAACATCATTTAAGAGCATTCAATTTATTCTAACTTTAATTGCTGGAATTTTAGATTGTTTCCAGTCTTGCTATACACTTAACTGCTGCAGTGAACATTTTGGTACATATATCTTTGCCAGAGATTGAAAATTGGATGCCCACAGCTATATCTGACTATAAGACTTTTTATTTTTTAAAGACCACTCTGTGTTAAATATTAGACATTTTCAATAAAGTTTCAGATTTCAAGCTCGAAACTAGCAACAGTGGGCCCACATTTCTAAAGGTAGAAATATGGCCTTGAGTAGTGGTCATTCCTTGTAGATGGGTCTGTAATTTCCAGTCTTCTTATTGTTCTTTCAACTTCCTGTTGCCTTTCTTTTTCTTTTTCTTTAGAGTATGTTTATCAAAGTTGGGGACAGTGAAACAAGGAAGGGCCTAGGATAGAAGAGGCAACAGGAAAGAGATTAACGGAGGGAAATGACCCTTGCTTGGACTGCTTTGGCTCACTAAGAAGTCAGAGGAAAGGGGGACTTGAGGACAGGTTCAGGGGGTTAGTTTGGGATGAGCTGGCCCATTGTCCTTGCTCTGCTCATGTCTGTTTAACTCCCTACCACATCTCTCCCTCAAGGATCTTGGTTCTTTTTTTTTTTTTTTATCCTCACCCGAGGACATTTTTCCGTTTTTTGTTCAGATAGAGTGGGAGGGAGAGAGAGGAAGAGAGAGAGAGAGAAACATCGATGTGAAGGGACACATCGAATGGCTGCCACCTGC